ATTTCTATTACAATGGAATAGGAAAAATATGTTTCTCCCACAGTTATCTGTTTATTCCTCCAGAGGAATTATGGGACATAGAAGGGGTTTCCTCGCAATGCAGCCTTGTTTGAAGTGTATCCTCTAGTAGCTGCAGCAGTGGTTTGGGGCCCTATGTGGGACGGCTGTACAGTCCAGTGTTTTTCTGACAACCAAGCAATTTGCCATGTTATTAACAAAGGGCATTTATCTTCACTGACCATCATGAGGTTTATCAGGAAACTGACTTGGTTAGCAGCTTGTAATCAATTCTACTTGGTTTGTAGTCATGTCCCAGGTCTCATTTTCAATTCCAGGCATTCCAAGCAACCCTACCTACTGCTTCACAACCACCTTCTCCCCGTTCTAAGATCTAATCATGGATTAAATGAACTACTGCACCATAGCCAAGTCTTCACAAGTATGGCTCTATCGACTAATACCTGTCGATACTACGATAGGGCTTTCTCTTTATACAAGAGATTCATGATAGTACATCACTTAGATAACATGTTTGACATTTACTTTTTGCCAGGCTGTCTCATATTATCATCAAATTATACTTGACTGGCAACCAACATCAAACATCAAATGTATTCTAGTATTCCAAACAATACCAGTTTCCTTTCCTCTTATCCCATCAAGACCATACTAAAAAGGTATAACCAAAGCCAGCGAATATCAGCGAATATCATATTTGATGTTGCCCCAAACACAAATGTAAAGGCTTTCCCCCTTTCCTACCCTACCGTTACTGGTCTGACGATCTGTATGCCCCCCTCCACTCCCTTTATTCATTACATTCTACTAGGATGGGCCCACTTTATTGACTGCCCTACTGCATAAGTTGGTTTCAACACACCTCAACTGACTTTTTCCTATTACAGGTTATGCTATTTTACAGTCTTGCATTAATCATATTCGATGTTGCCCTGAACACAAATAAATATATATATATATATATAAAAAAAATATATTAGTTAAAAGTCATTTAAACCCCACAAAACCTAAACATTTTATTCAGGATCTTAAAGGATTCTATGGCTGTGGTATGTGTCTCCCATGCAGAGTGACTAAACAAACAAAAAGACATTTTGAAGATTTAGAAAGTATTATTCAAAAACCATATACTATTAAAGATCATTTGACGTGCCATTCTAAGGGTATCGTATATATTTTAAAATGCCCCTGCAATCTACTTTATGTGGGGAGAACTATCAGACCTTTAAAAGTGAGAATTGCTGAGCATATTCGCAATATCAAAAACGGTTTGGAAACCCATAGTGTATCACAACATTTTAAAGATGCCCATAACCAAAACCCAGAGTATTTATTTTTCTGTGCAATTAAAGAAGTAAAACGGGATTGGAGAGGGGGAAATTACATAAAAACATTAGGGAAAGAAGAAATGAAATTTATATACACCTTTAAAACACTTATTCCTTATGGCCTGAATTCAGATTTTAAGGTTTGCCATTTTTAATATGTTTCTTATATATAGGATTTTCTTAGTTAATTTTAGGGGCAGTTTTAATTACTTCTATTAATTTTTATTCAGATTGATTTTATATATTTTATACTCTTTTGTAATTATTGTGTATATATAGGATTACCCTACTGTATTTTATATTTTATAATTCTTGTCTGTGATAGGACCACTTCCTCTTATTTTATTCATCTATATTAGTATAATATATTTGTTGTATTTATACTTATTTTTCCCTCCCATTTTGGCTCTGTACATGTTATCTCATGCAAAAACTATTTGGAACACAAAAACAAACTTTTATTAAGAAATCATCCATTACAGAACAGAGAGGCATTCCCTTTCATACGAAAACCGGAACTACAATACATGCGTTCCACCGTTGGAACGCAAATGCCGAAACCGGAAGTTAGTGAATTAATGCGTTCCACTGTTGGAACGTGGAAGTAAAATGCCGCGATTTGACAATTAAGGAGAAAGAAACGGCGCGAATTTCAACTATAAACAAAGGACTGTTACAGCAAGCACCTACAGCAACTGAGGAAGCCTCTATATGAGGCGAAACGCGTTTTGCTACCAGAGACTATCTCTTCAAGATTACCTTCAACTGTAAGGTTTCTGGTTTTTTTTATATTTTTGTGCACTTTATCAATAAAGCACTTATTCATCACTTATACTTACCTGTGAGAGGACATCTCATTATTCATCACCTCCTGGCAGTATAAAGAAGGGAGTGGGAACCCAAATCCCACAATGCTGGATGATTGAGCCTTATCTCATAAGCTCTAGATTTGTGAGTTTATTTCCACATATTTTCTCCATATTTATAAGGGATCCAGACAATATTGCACTATTATGCGTTTTTTTTTACCTTATCTCTAGGTCATTGTTCCATTTATTTTAAACAAGAAGACACTCCACCTTATATTGTATGTAAAATATATATATGTGTAGTTTGTTTTTACTGCTCTTATGCTTTTTTACCTCTGTTGATTACTTTTTCTTGACCTGTGAACCAAATGTTAGGAAAATGCTCCTATAATTGCAATGCAAAATATATTTATATTATGTATATATTTAGAAGTACACTGATTGGTCCATTTTTTGTGACCACTTAGTTTATTTGATTGTTTTCTGAATCAGTTTTTTGATAAAGAAATTCTGCAGAGCTGAACTAACAGATGGAAAAAAATTCAGGTGGCTTAAAAATATCTGTTTTGGGAAAAAAATTGTTGGTCAAACTGAATTTGTTCGCTATACACAGGACTATTGTGCAGGTAAAAAACTTATACATTAGTGTAAATGGTTACTCCAGGCACCATGACAACTTTACTAATTTTAAGTCTGTAGTTGTGGTGTTTTACTATGAAACGCTGCAAATACAGAGAATATGCTCTTTGTTGACACAGGTGTAACACTGACAGCATCATTAGCTAAGGGTTCTGGGCTAGCTAATTGTAACTCTGGCTTAATTGACATTAGCACGCAGGGTATGTTTTGTGACAGACCGCCTATGGTGGGATGGTTACTTCCATGCAACCCAAGTCCTCCCCTCAGCCTGTCCTCTGGGACAACATTCCGCCTCCAGCAAGGGGGAATGACATCAAGGAGGAGGATCGGGTTGTTTGGAAAACAAGTGTTGGAGCAAGTTTTACTTTGTTTTAATTTGTCTTTTTTAGAGGAGACTTGCCAGTAAGGATTCCTAGATCCAAAACACTTTTTCTTGGTTCGAGTAACCCTGAAAAATTTTCCCACAGTCTGGCTACTAAACCTAATATTTTTAAATTTAATAATAACAATTGTGCAAACTGATCTTAAACAAAACTGTGTTAAAAGTGTATAAAAACTTTTATAAAGAGGAACTTCTGACGAAAAAGTGATTGTCTCTTATTGCTTCCAACAAATAAGTTGAGTAAATAATTTCCATTTATTTTCTATTCCCCATAGATTTGCAACATTCTGTCCTGCTGTTTGGTCTGTGGCAATTAGTAGCCACAGGCATGATTTTTTTTTTATAACTTTATTCCCATCCATGGTCATTTTGTATTAAATTCAATAGGGACAACCCATGTTTACATACATTACATTTGCAATCTAGATGTACTCTCCCTATTGTCTGAAATTGCTAATATAAAATTAGCTCATTACACATTAGTGTGGATTGTATGAAATATTTTTGTGTCTTTATGATGTACATGCTTGTATATATTGCATCTCATTTCCCATTTATATCTCTTTATTATGTGGTATTATATTGGGGCACCGGGGAATACTGGGCTATTTTGTATATATTTATTCTTTCAAGGGCTCCGAATCCTGTGTACTTATTTCTCATTAAATTCACCAGTACTGGTTTGGCTTCGGCATGGCGCAAAATTTGCCTTAAATTTGCCACAATTTCCCCTGCATTCAATCACAAATTCTGCTTACCATTGCTATGGTAACATGGTGATTACGTGACACATAATGACTTCATCATGCACCATGATTTGTGAAATCTGAATGACTTCATTATTGATTTTAGCTGTTATTTTGGACTCCAATCCTCTGATATCTGGAGTGTTTGCTCTTTTCTTCTTATTTATTGGGGTACGAGTTTTTGCTTAACTAAGAGTATTTTGCATTAAGAAAGAGTTTGTATTATGCATGTCTTTAATTAAACATCACAGCTCTAAGGTGCCTTTCAAGAAAGTAGTACATCCACACAGGGGACAAAAGAAAATAATATATATTGATTTATTAAGAATGGGGAAAAAATACCTGATGCATTGAGATTTAATTGTCCAAGAACATATTCTATTAGTATTTTTTTTGGGTGATTCCAAATTTCTATTTTTCACTTAGGAATCCCTAGAGGCAAATTAATTGAATATAAAATAATGGAAATATGTTATTCCATTTACAAAGAACCAGCTTGACAGATAAAAACGTATAAAGTGCAAAAGGTCATGCTTCATTAGACATTATCTTTTATTCAGCTGATAAAATTATACATTTATTGTTTTTTTTCTAGGCTTTTGTAAAGTCTGTAGATGTACTTTAAAAATGTAGCTTTAATGTTAAATATATATAATTTTATACTACAAGAATGTCTACTTTATTTTTTCATATAAAGGAATGTTCTATGCACATCGAAAACAAGGTATTTTTCACCCTAGATATGATGTTGCCTTGCTATTAACATTGTATAGCATTACAGTAAAAACTTCAAATTCTTTAAATGTCTCTAGAATTGCATTTTAACTATTAATTACTTTCTAGCAGGGCATCTATTAAAAAAGAAAACAAATCCTATTAAAAATATATATTTATATTTTACTATATAGCGAATGAAAAAAATACCTGAAAATTCAGCACAAAATAGTGGTGTTGAAAGGATGTGTAAGGAATAGTGATGTCCCGAACTGTTCGCCGAAACGGTTCGCGAACGGTTCGCCACGAACGGTTCGCCACGGACTCATCATTGAGTAAACTTTGACCCTGTACCTCACAGTCAGCAGACACATTCCAGCCAATCAGCAGCAGACCCTCCCTCCCAGACCCTCCCACCTCCTGGACAGCATCATTTTACATTCATTGTGAAGCTGCATTCTTAGTGAGCTGTCCAGGAGGTGGGAGGGTCTGGGAGGGAGGGTCTGCTGCTGATTGGCTGGAATGTGTCTGCTGACTGTGAGGTACAGGGTCAAAGTTTACTCAATGATGAGTCCGTGGTGAACCGTTCGTTGCGAACCGTCCGCGAACCGTTCGGCGAACAGTTCGGGACATCACTAGTAAGCAATCTTTCTATTCACCACAATATGTCATTTAAAGTAATCTTGAATTCTGTATTTTGTGTGTACATTTATTGATTGTCTGCATTAATGAGAGCAAGCGAGAAAATATAAGTGTCTAGAATAAGATCTTTTAAACCTTTTAAGAACAAAATGTCTGCAATGTATTGCATCAGTTCTTTATCCAGGGTATCATATTTTCTTATTTCTTTTTAGTTATAAAATAACTATATCAAGTTTGGTAATAAGTTAGCCCACAAACCATTTCCACAAACTAAGTAGAAGGAAATACTTTTTAAGTTGCTTTTAATTCATATTTTCTACAGCTTTATGTTTCTCTTTAGCTAGTGTAAGTCTAACAACGTATTTTCTATCTCTTCTCTACCAACCCCCAATATTAAGATTTTGTTGATGAAATGTAAATCTTCAGTGTTCCATGTTTGTTGCAACTACTGTGCAACTAAATTAAGATAACATAACATCTGGTGGTTATATGCTAGATGGGTATGGGTGAAGTCACTCTTATTTTTGTAAAACAATTTTTGAGCTGTTGGACGCTATGATATTGAAGAACTTCTGTTGTGCATACATTCTTAAGACATCATAAAATGGGAGTTCACATTCTGATTATCTACCCAAACTGAAATATTTGTACAGAACTTTTAAGGCATAACGTTTTGGCTCATGATGTGCAATGACAGGTTTCGGGTATTGGAGGATTCATCTAATACACATTGTCATAAGTCCTTACAGTGGACCTTTTCTTAACCATGGATGTCACACATGATTGCAATGAAATTTTAGTATTTTGACAAAATTCTATGATTACATTTTGTTGTGGAACTTGGAATTTCATTTTATGAATAAAACAAAATAGTGGTTTAGTAATTTATCTCAATTTATTTATCAAATATTAGTAGAAAACACAAAGTTATTAAACATGTATTACTTCGGTCAATTACATGTTTATTAAAATATAGCACAGTTAAACTAACCAATTTGTGATCAGCCATGCTTGGAACATTCTTAAAATCTGAAATGATAACCAATTAATTGTTTAATAGACCTCTAGAGTAGTCAAACTGGTATGGATCAATAAATAAGAATTGTAGTTGTAAATATTATAACAGGCTTTAGCCAGTAGGCTTATAAAAAAAAGTACCGATGAGAAACTGGTTAAAAATGCAAACTTATATTGTTATTCCATATAGAGATTTTTAAAATGTTAATTCAGTTTGACTGTTACCGAAATCTTCATTTAAATGAACAGCAGGATTACAAATCCTAATTTAACAGTTCATGTAGAAGAATGTCTCTAAGATGAATTTGTATTCAGATATATATATATATATATATATAAAACAAAAACGTGAACTTGGCACTCACCCTTTGTAAATTATCGAAGTATTCTTGCCTGGGTGCCCACCTCTGGCATCGATAAATATAAAAAATATAAGCAAGGTGCACTCACAGGTCTTCTTAAATGCGTGATAAATTTATTCCAGCGTGCAAATTATTTATGCCACAATTTGATGATGATCAACGTTTCGACCCCTAAAGGGTCTTTTTCAAGATCAAAAATATCGTGTATACAGTGAATATATATAGATACATAATAAGAAGAACTTACCAATAAGATGTGCAGTGAAATCGGTAGCCGTCCGAAACCCGGAAGTGAAACTGAAACACCACGTGAGGGACGTGATGACGCATAGCAATGCGTCGTTACTAAGCAACCCAATACACATTGTGGGACTTAAGATCGGCTGTATTAGACAATAAAGATGTGAATATAATGTATTCACTCTGTGTATTGAATAATGAACGTGTTGTTAAACCCAATAAAGGTCTGGAGGATATAGTACATAGTAACAATATTGCGCACAAATAAGAGAAAGGACCTGCTGTGAAAGAAATACAAAGTGTACCAAAATCAGTGAATAAAAACGTGAAAGATGTGAAGGCACATATATACAATGTGAACAAAGAGGTCCTGCTCAGAAAGATGTGCTGCATAATTTTACAATGTCAATGACATGCTTTACATGCCATATATTAATAACTCATATAAATAATATGTCTAATATATTAAACTACAGACATCAAGAGCTACAAAATCCAAAACTTGAAAAAGATGCAAAAAATTCACAAAATAATGCACACAACAATATTTCTTAAATGCTACTAGATAATATTACACTAATGATATACCAACAAGCTCAGATGTACTAAATATATTGTTAATACAGTGCTTCCCAACGATATACTTAAATTATTATTATTATGTCGGGCTAAACATAACCAGAAATAAACATGCCGTGAACCTCAAGAAAAAAACGGTCTTTTTGTATGTCCATATCAAAAAATCAAAACAACCTGTATGTCTAAAATTGACTATAGAGTAGATGCAATAATTAACTCCAAGAGATCCTTACAAAAACATGGAATAAGTATTGTATTCATTAAGACCTTTAGGTGTAACTGTGTCCAACTTAAAGATCCAGTAAGCTTCTCGTTGAAGCAATAACTTAGATCTGTCACCCCCACGAGACAAAGGAGGGACATGATCTATAGCCATAAATTTAAGTGTGGGCAGTCTGTGCGAAGCTGCCAAAAAATGTTTAGCCACTGGTTTATCCGTTTTTTGGTCCCTGAAAGCTGTCATAATACCAGACCTATGTCCCCGAATACGATCCCGTAGGGTTAGATCTGTCTTCCCCACATACGATAATCCACAGGGGCATGTGATCAGATAAATTACGTGATCTGTGGTACACGTGATATACTGTGAAATGGCTATTCTTTTCCCGCTGTGAGGATGGGCAAAAGAGTTTCCAGGCAGCATATGGCTACAGGTAACACATCCGCTACATCTGTAACATCCGTGTTTCTTGTGACTTGTACTCTTCTTATAATTCTTTGTAGGGTCACTCCTAACAAGAATATCTCTGAGATTCCTATTTCTTTTATAACTAATAATAGGTTTCTCACAAAATATAGGTGAGAGTTGTTTGTCAGCGCTTAACATGTCCCAATGTCTATCAATCGATTTGCGGATTTGTGTCGAAGCGGTATGGTATGTGAGAGGTAAATATATCTTAGAAATTTCCGTATTTGGTTCAATTTGTATTGCACTTATCTCCTGTGTCCATTTCACCATGGCTCGGGTTTTCGCTTCCTCCAATATTTTCGATGAATATCCCCTTTCCTGAAATCTGAGAGTCATCTCTTTTAGTTGATTTTCTCTATTTAGAGGGTTGCTATTATACCGTAATACCCTCATATATTGGGAAATTGGTAATGAGTCTTTGAGTCGTTGTGGATGATAACTCGTAGCAGCCAGTAAAGTATTTCTGTCCGTTCTTTTGCGGTGTACTGTATAACCTAGTTTGTCACCTTCCTTATATATAGTGACATCCAAAAATGGTATCTCTTTCTCACTGTAAGTGAGTGTAAATTTGACTGGTAGTGACAATCCATTAATATTCGATACCAAATCTTCTAATTCACAGGTGGAACCACTCCATACCATAAACACATCATCGACAAAACAAAATTTTTGGAGGAAGCGAAAATTTGTGCGCAATATTGTTACTATGTACTATATCCTCCAGACCTTTATTGGGTTTAACAACACGTTCATTATTCACTACACAGAGTGAATACATTATATTCACATCTTTATTGTCTAATACAGCCGATTTTAAGTCCCACAATGTGTATTGGGTTGCGTAGTAACGACGCATTGCTATGCGTCATCACGTCCCTCACGTGGTGTTTCAGTTTCACTTCCGGGTTTCGGACGGCTACCGATTTCACTGCACATCTTATTGGTAAGTTCTTATTATTATGTATCTATATATATTCACTGTATACACGATATTTTTGATCTTGAAAAAGACCCTTTAGGGGTCGAAACGTTGATCATCATCAAATTGTGGCATAAATAATTTGCACGCTGGAATAAATTTATCACGCATTTAAGAAGACCTGTGAGTGCACCTTGTTTATATTTTTATATATATATATATATATACACATACACACACATTTTTTTTTAAAATATTTTATTATATCTGTGACAAGGCTGAAGAAATGACACTCTGCTACAAAGTAAAGTAGTAAGGGTACAGCCTGTATGACAGTGTAAATTTGCTGTCCCCTCAAAATAACTCACACAGCCATTAATGTCTAACCAGTTGGCTACAAAAGTGAGTACACCCCTAAGTGGAAATGTCCAAATTGGGCACTGGCTGCTCACTGTAAAAAACAAACAAAAAAAAACCTATTGCCCCCACCCCTGTGCGATGGGTGGAGGCCCTAAATAAGAATGTGGAGGGGGGGACCTACTGTCCTCCCAAGCCCCCACCCCTGAGCGGTGGGTGGCGGCCATAAATAAAAATTGGGGGGACCTAATGTACTCCCTGCCAGCCCCTACCCCTGCGCGGCGTGTGGGGGCGTAAATAACAATAAGAGGCGGTCCTAATGTCTTCCCCCCCCGGCCCCCACCCCTGCGCGGTGGGTTGGGGCCCTAAATAACAATAAGGGGGAACCTACTGTCCTACCCCCCACCTCCACCCCTGAGCGGCGGGTGGGGGACATAAAAAAAAGGGTGGGGACCTTATGTCCTCCCCCTTGGCCCCCACCCCTGAGCGGTGGGTGGGGGCCATAAATAAAAATTATTTGAATTTTCCCACACTGTGTAAAATGACACAGAGCATTCTGGTTTGTTACTTAATCCACCAATCAGAGTACTCTGTGTCATTTTACACAGCGTGAGAAAATTCTAAAGAACTTTCCCACGCTGTGTAAAATGTCACAAAGCACTCTGATTGGTGGATTTTAAGCCAACCAATCAGAGTGATGTGACAGGTAAATGTAGAGACTTACCTGCCAGTCTCTTCATTTACCTGTCAGAGCAATCTGATTGGATGGCTTAAACCCACCAATCAGAGTGCTCTGAAACTAATTGCAGGGCAGGGCAAGGTTCTATAAGCCTTCCCTGCCCTGCAGAGCTCAGTCTGCATGGAGCCCTCCATGGGTGAAGAAGGATTATTATTTTTTTGCGCTCGTTTTTTTTTTTTTAAAGTGCATCGGTTATTCTGGATTTTTATTTGGCCTTTTTTGGGGCTGAAAAAAGAAGAGTTTAGAAGAAAGAAGACATCAAATGGTAAGTCTATTTTTTTACAGGTATTTAGACAAGGGTCCCCCCTCATTATTTTTAGGATGAGGGGGGTAGGTAGGGGTAATTTTTTTGGGGGGAGGCGGATGACTAGGGGTTTGGGGACCACTAGTCAACTGGAGGGGGGAATTTTTATTTATCGCCCCCACCCACCGCTCAGGGGTGGGGGCCGGGGGGAGGACATTAGGTCCCCCCCCTTATTGTTATTTAGGGCCTCCACCCACCGCACAGGGGTGGGGGCTGGGGGGGAGAACATTAGGTCACCCCCTTATTGTTATTTAGGGCCCCCACCTGCCGCACAGGGGTGGGGGCCGGGGGGAGGACATTAGGTCCCCCCCTAATTTTTATTTATGGCCCCCACCCACTGCTCAGGGGTGGGGACCGGGGTGAAGGACATTAGGTCCCCCCCCCAATTTTTATTTTTGGCCCCCACCAACCGCTCAGGGGTGGGGGCCAGGGGGAGGACAATCGGTCCCCTCCCTTATTGTTATTTAGGGCCCCCACCCGCCGCACAGGGGTGGGGGCTGAGGGGAGGATAGTAGGTCTGGCCCCTTATTGTTATTTAGGGCTCCCACCCACCGCTCAGGTCACGGTTGGGGGCTCAGGAGGGTCTGTTCACTGTTTAATAGACACGCCCCTACTCGCGGTATAGCGCGTAGGGGCATAATTTGCTAATACTAAGTGACCAGCTTCTATAGAGGCTGGGTCACTTGCTGCACTGACAAATCACAGCCATGCCATTAGTAGTCATGGCTGTGATGGCTTCTAAGGGCACACGAGTGAAACGCTTGTTGATTGGCTGCCCAGCAGCCTTTGAAAACGTGTCATTAAATCACCGAACTCCGATCTCCAACCCGAACATACAGTGATAGGTCCGTGTTCGGGTCCAGGGTCCAAAAAACATAATGTTCGGTACGAACGCGAACTTTTCAGTTCGGGTTCGATCAACTCTAGGTATGAGTGCTGCCAGCATTGCTGAAGAGGTTGAAGGGGTGGGGGGGGTCAGCCTGTCAGTGCTCAGACCATACGCTGCATCAAATTGGTCTGCATGGTTGTCATCCCAGAAGGAAGCCTCTTCCAAAGATGATGTAGAGGAAAGCCTGCAAACAATTTGCTGAAGACAAGCAGACTAAGGACATGGATTATTGGAACCCTGTCCTGTGGTCTGTTGGGACCAAGATAAACCTATTTGGTTCAGATGGTGTCAAGCATGTGTGGCAGCAACCAGGTGAGGAGTACTAAGACAAGTTTCTCTTGCCTACAGTCAAGCATGGTGGTGGGAATGTCATGGTCTGGGCCTGTATGATGCTGCCGGCACTGGTGAGCTAGAGTTCATTGAGGGAACCATGAATGCTAACATGTACTGTGACATACTGAAGCAGAGCATGACCCCCTCCCTTCGGAGACTGGGCCGTAGGGCCTACTGGCTAAAGCCTGCTACCATATTCCAACATGATAATGACCACAAACACACCTCCAAGACGACCACTGCCTTGCTAAAGACGCTGAGGTAAAGGTGATGGACTGGCCAAGCATGTAATGGCCTAAACCCTTTTGAGCATCTTTGGGGCATCCTCAAATGGAAGGTGGGGGAGCGCAAGGTCTCCAACAATCACCAGCCCTGTGAGGTCATCATGGAGGAGTGGAAGAGGACTCCAGTGGCAACCTGTGAAGCTCTGGTTAACTCAATGCCCATGAGGGTTAAGGCAGTGCTGAAAAGTTCAACACAGGGTTGTACTCACTTTAGTTGCCAACCCTTTAGACATTAATGGCTGTGTTTTGAGTTATTTTGCATCCAAGATCCTTGAAATAATTGTGTATGCGAGATTGACAGACTTCCTCAAGTCCAACTCTCTGCTAGACCCGCTTCAGTCTGGTTTCCGCGCTAAGCACTCTGTGGAAACGGCACTGACCAAAATATCCAGTGATCTACTCGCTGCAAAATCTCGTGGTCACTACTCTATCCTAATTCTCCTTGACCTGTCTGCAGCCTTTGACACTGTTGATCATCAACAGCTTCTTCTCATCCTCTGCAATATCGGTCTACAAGATATTGCTCGCGCCTGCTGCTCCTCCTACCTCTCCCAGCGCTCTTTCAGTGTTTCTTTCTCTGGCTCTGCTTCTTCTCCCCAACTCCTGTTTGTTGGTGTACTCCAAGGTTCAGTCCTTGGTCCCCTACTGTTCTCCATCTATACTGCCTCCCTTGGTAAACTCATTAGCTCCTTTGGCTTCCAATATCATTTCTATGCAGATGACACGCAAATCTACCTGCCCTCTCCTGATCTCTCCCCGTCCCTCTTGACTAGTGTCTCTGACTGCCTCTCTGCTGATTTCTAACTGGATGGCTGCCCACTTCCTTAAACTAAACTTGACCAAAACTGAAATTCTGGTCTTTCCTCCCTCAAGTGTTGTTACTCCTGTGTCTGTCTCCCTCCAAGTCAACGGTGCTACCATCAGCTCCACCACGCAGGCTCGCTGCCTAGGTGTTCTCTTTGACTCTGACCTCTCCTTCAAGCCTCATGTTCAATCTATCGCCAAATCCTGTCATTTCCATCTCAAAAACATTGCGCGCATCAGCCCCTACTTAACGCCAGATGCAACTAAGGTGTTGGTCCATTCCACTGTCCTTTCTCGCCTTGACTACTGTAATTCGCTTCTCAGTGGTCTTACGTGCTCCCAACTTGCGCCGTTACAGTCCATAATGAATGCAGCAACGAGGCTCATCTTCCTGTCCGCCCGCACCTCCCATGCCTTACCCTTCTGTCAGCCCCTACATTGGCTTCCTATAAAATATAGAGCTCAATTTAAAATTCTGGTTCTTGCTTTCAAATCGCTATATAATGTTGCTCCCACCTATCTATCCTCCCTTATACACAAGTATGTCCCGTCTAGGCCCTTACGATCTGCTGAAGACTTACGTCTATCTTCTGTCAGTACTCCCACCTCTGATGCTCGCCTTCAAAATTTCTCGAGGGCTGTACCGTTCCTGTGGAACTCGCTTCCCTCCTCCGTTAGATGCTCACCCAGTCTCCACTCCTTCCAAAAATCGTTAAAAATCCACTTCTTCATAAAAGTGTATCAATTAAACTGTTAATAGCTCCTGACTGATTTCACTTCTGCAACTGTCACTAATCTAATACTATCCTTACCTTTTTGTGTCTTTTTACCCCACTCCCTCCAGCATGTAAGCTCATTGAGCAGAGCCCTCAACCCCTCTGTTCCTGTGTGTCCAACTTGTCTGGTTACAACTACATGTCTGTTCGTCCACCCATTGTAAAGCGCTGCGGAATTTGATGGCGCTATATAAATAACATAATAATAATAATCTTGAGGGGACAGCAAATTTACACTGTTATACAGGCTGTACATTTACTACTTACATTGTAGCAGAGTGTCATTTCTTCAGTATTGTAACATGAAAAGATATAATAAAATGTTTACAAAAATGTGAGGGGTGTATTCACTTTTGTGAGATACTGTGTGTGTGTGTATATATATATATGTATATATACACACACACACACACACAGTATCTCACAAAAGTGAGTACACCCCTCACATTTTTATCTAAAATTGACTTAATACAAATGGGCATTTTCTGTAGGCTTCACTTTTACTTCTTCAGCAATAAGATTTGTTCAATGCATAGAAATTCTGTGATTAAATAAAGCATTAAGGATGTACCAGTATGAAAATATGCAATAATAACAAGGATTCCTGAATAGTAAATATGTACACACACACACATATATACTATTCAGGTATCCTTGTTATTATTGCATATTTTCATACTGGTACATCCTTAATGCTTTATTTAATCACAGAATTTCTATGCATTGAACAAATCTTATTGCTGAAGAAGTAAAAGTGAAGCCTACAGAAAATGCCCATTTGTATTAAGTCAATTCTAGATAAAAATTGTCCAAGACATCTTGTGCTAGCACCCAACTGAAGCAGAAATAAAATGTAGGTAATGAATTTAGAAGTTAGTTGTCAGTTTTGTTCAGAATATCACACATTTATCCACAGACATAGAATCTGTACTCCTGTTTTTTATCTTGGTACCTATTGATGAGGTAGCAGCAAAGCTAAATTAACCACCAAACGCCTAATGAAGAAGCGTTTCCAGATTTTTTGCAATGTCCTGTGATGCTGCATCATTTAACAACACAAGACTTCAATGAAGGGTGATATAGGGTTCTGTGGTAGCTAGTGAAAAATAGTGCTGTATTCAGTAAAAACATTCACAGGGGATGTTTGACAAATTCGCTGGTTGGTCATCATGATAGATGCCATGATTTAATGTGATGTATATCTTAATGGAACAGAGATACATACCCACTTCAACAATATGTGGTTTATCTACCTGGGCACAAAATTCAGTTCAAGGTTTTAAAAAATATCTATCTTCTTTGGCAAAATACTATTTTATTTTTTTTTTCAATTTGACAATTTTTATTGTTGATAAGAACAGGGGAGGGGGGGTACAGAAGAGAAGAAGGAGGGGGGGGGGGTTTCCGTGTTACAGTATATGTCACTCGGTACAAGGCGACATAGCGTAGTAGCATAGTAGCTTGGTAAAACAGTAATGGTTTGGACAGTGGTATTAATAATATTGTTGTTAAGAAAAATAAGCCGCACAAAATTGCTTAGTGTAATTCTAGTCCATGCGCCTACCCATGGGCTTGGGTGATCTGTGTAGTTTGGAGTATACTTCCCCATGCGTAACCTAATCCGATGCTCTTTCGCTTTGCGAACACAGTGGGTCAATACAATGCATACATATTGCTATGGTACAGGAATGAGTCGCCTTACTCAGGGTTTGCCAATCTCCACGCGTCCCACACATCCCATGCTGTCGTCCCTGTACGGGTGGGTGGGCATATATTCGTGAAGCAACGCTCATAGTGCCTCTGCTCAGCTATTTCTGAGAGTACGTTTTGTATCTTAGGAGTGGTTGGAGATTTCCAGGCCCGCGCTATAAGGCGTTGAGCCGTTAGTGTTGTGTGGAAAATTAGTTTTTGGAGGTACTTAGGAGTGTGGGGGGGAGTGTGCAGTAGCAGGTACGTGAGCGGGTCTAGGGGCAGTGTAAGTTTCGTGAGGTCTTGTAGGAAGGAGTGCACTTCTTCCCAAAAGGGTTTGATCAGTGAGCACGTCCACCAGATGTGTAAAACTGATCCGGTGTGCCTCCGACATCTCCAGCAGGTGGATGAAGCGGCGGGGTACATTTTAGAAAGCCGCTCCGGGACCATGTACCATCTGTAAATCATTTTTTTGTTCTGCTCCAATAACGGTGCTGATTTAAGGAGGGTTTTGGGTGCGGTAGATAAAGTGTTCCACTCTTTGTGAGTGAGCTCAATGGTCAGATCTTCTGCCCATTGTCTAGCTGGCGTGGCCTCTGAGAGAGGGGTGAAGTCTAATAGCAATTGGTAACACGTGGAGATTGGCTTACAGAGTGGGGGTAGTTTTTTATTTATACACATTTTCTCCCATGTTGTAAGTTGGTCGGTGGCTATTTGGCTGGGCGGTACTTGTGTAGCTTGTTTGTGCAGGAAAGAATGAAGTTGTCTGTAGGAAAAATGAGATGTCAGGGGGACACCGTGGAGTGAGTGTAGGGTGTGAAAGTCTAGGAGCTTTGAGTTAGCGTGGAATTGGCCTAAGTATTGGAGCCCCTTCTCCTGCCACGGTTTAGCGTAGAAGGTGGGAATGCAGTATGTGAGAGCCGCTGTCGGTGTGGCTGGGGACAGAGGGCCGTTGGAGGTCAGTTTATGTCTATGTGCGTCCCAAACTCGTATGAGTAGGGCGAGTTGGGGAGGGATATCTTTTAGGGGGGGGCGAAGCTGTTGCGGGAGCCATAGTATGTGGGTGATGTCATACGGAGTCATCATGAGCTTCTCAAGCCTGACCCATTGCGGGGGGCTTTGGTCAACAAAATGGGGGATGGCTGCTGCTAATATGGATGCGTGGTAATAGGTACGCACGTCCGGGACTGCTAAGCCTCCTGCTCTAGCTGGAGCTCGTAGGAGCTTCATTGAGATGCGGGGTTTACCCTTGTTCCAGATGAAGTTGGTGATATCGCTCTGTATCGCTTTAAAATAGGATTGTGGCATTGGTAATGGGAGGTTCCTAAAAATGTATTGTAACCTGGGGAGTATGGACATCTTGATCGCCACTATTCTCTCAGTCCAAGTCAGGAAGAGGGATCCCCATTTTGTCAGGGATTGTTTACACTCTGTCCAGACCCTGATATAGTTGGTTGCGCTTAGGTCAGCGCGGCGTCTGGAGAACATAAAATACTATTTTATAATACCAGTCCTTCAAGGTTTTAATATATATATATATATATATATATATATATATATATATATATATATATATATTTTTTTTTTTTTTTTCCCTTTGGCAAAATACTATTTGATATCAGTGCTTCTTCTTTGAAGGAAAAGGAGAGGGTTTTAGAAGTGGCCTTTTCTGCACTGTTTTGCATAAAGTTTAGTTTTTTAGTAAATCTGAGAGTATTGGACAGAGACCGGAATTCCCTATGGCACACCAATATTATTGCACATCAACATATACATTTTTTTTTTTTTTTAAACTGAAGGTGTTGAACCTACTTTAATCATTTAAGGAAAAAATAAGTATTCGGCTCAAAGGATCAAGACCAAATGGTAGTCACAAACACAAGACCAACTACCAGACACTAGTGCTCTCCCCAAGGATGTCCATAAACAAGTAGTGAAAATGGTGATGATGGTAGGTGCACCAAACAGTGAGACTGGTAAAAGTCACAGCCAGCAATAACATATTTAAAAAAAATGTATTTATGAAGTATAGATTACATATTAAAATACTCACACCAATAGAAAACTTTATGTTTATTGCACTTAGTCATAAGTGACCAACTGAAGTCATGCAAGCTAGAGGACACTGTAGGCACTGTAACTGCTTCATCTCATTGAAAAGGTTATAGTGTCTGAAGTCCCCTGGCTCCATCCTTCTATTTAGTGTTAAACTATTTTAGAGCTTTCATGCTAAACAAGAGTCCCCATCAGCCGACCCCCTCTGTGCTATTCGGGCTAATGTCAGCTGACTGCATTAAACCTATCACAGTGTGTCATCTTTGCTTAAGCCAAAGCTCCTTTAGTGTCCAGGCAGTGGGAGGGTATGGGCCATTACTTAGGTTTAAACTGCTCATCATTTTGCTGCATTTAATAAATGAAAAAGTTATTGCTAGATTTTTGGTATAGTTCATCTGCTGTTCGTGTGTTTTCTGTTACTTCTGTCATGTGGCTTTAAGATGGGAGAAACTTGGATAATTATATAAATATATACTAGATAAATATATAGACATAAATTGCCTTGTCCATGATGGGTAGCAGAAGAATACACAGTTCCATCACCCTCTAAAATAAAATTGTATTTGTTTAAAATACTTGTAATAATTATTAGTGGCATAGTATAGTTATCATTATACAGTTACTATACACTCTGTTGAGGGAAGTTGAGACAAAGATAAATTATAATCATACAAAAAAAATGTTTTGGTTTGTTTTCTACTGATTTAACAAAACAATCAAAAGATAATAGTCAAATTGAACAACAATTCACCTTGGGCAGAAATACCTTAGATCAGTGGCTCCCAAACCAGTCCACAGGGTACCCCTACCAGTCCAGGATTGAGGGACTACCTGCAGTTACCCTAGGGGTAGCAGGTATGGGTCAGGCACAACCCTTACTTTTTATGGATACAAGAAAGTTTTCCCCCCTTCTACCTAAAGGTCTTTCCCTTTCATCTTACCTGGTTAATCCTGCTTTCATATTCATGCAGGTATCTCAACCTTTATGCTGCAGTTTTCTTCTCCATTTAAGGGAGTCCTATTTTATTTCTCTGGTGGTCCAGGGGTTTCCTGGGTTTATTTGCAGCATTTTTGCTGCAATTTTTGCAGAGGCTGAATGGCTCCTGGTCTCTCCAGGCACCAACTTGGCCAGCATTCGGCCCGCGCAACGCGTCATGCCATTTTTGCTTGTGCGGGAGTCCTGATTTGCGCATGCACAGTGCTGCCGGATTACGATGATGTCATTAATTAGGTTCGGGTACCTTTTTAAAGCACCAAAACCATTTTTTTTCCCACAACAGCATTCACTCTTAGCTTCTTAAAGCAACAGAGTGTGGTTTTGGTCAATCTTGATTAGTGTTGTGGCTCTGATAGTGCATGCTGCACAACATATCAACTTTTAAAACTTTATTTTTTTGTCTTCCTTCCTCTTTGTCTCTCCTTGTCTTTCTTTAATTCCTAATCTTTAAGCCTTTTGTTGTTTTTGGTCTTACTTTCAGTAGGATGGATTCAACTGAAGTTATGGATTCAGACTCATCGATTCGTAGTAAGAGTTCACAATCTAAAAGTCATAGGTAAGCCATTTCTTTTTTTTTATTGCTTTATTAAAACAAAAGAGAGCCAACTAATATATATTCCCTATTATGATAGCTCAAAGGGAAGGAAAGCATCTGGATTATCCAAAGGGAAATCATCCACGAGGACCCTTTGTGAAGTA